TACATATATATATATTGAATTGATCTCAAATCAATTCCTAGCATACTCAAACATCATAATATGTTATTTATAAAAATATATAACATATTTATTATTACTTATCACAAAATATTCAAATTTTTAGGGTTTTACAGTTACTCGCTATATCGCTTTGACGCTCGTTGTTTTTCCCACCTTTCAGGCAGCGAGTCAGGCGCACGGAGAGTCACAAGTTGATGAGATGTCTTCATAGATTCTATATAGATATTTATTATATTTGTAGTTTATGTCAGAACTCCACAATAGATGTATTTAAGAACATTTGAGATATTATTTCTAGCTTTGTAAGGCGATGTGCCTTTATGTCATTTCATTTGACTTCCTATATGAGACAGTTGTATCAGTTCAATTGTTTGTTTCTTAGAGATTTATCCATTTATATCAGTGATGATGATTTTCTTTAGAGTATCTATTGTTTAGTATTTCTTCCGTATATTTTCTCTTGCCTGTTTTGTACCTACACCTGTTATTGATTCCACTAGATAGATAGTAATTATGATGGTGAAATATATCATAGCATGATATTTGGTGCTTGGCAGGTTTGACATTCTTGGTTTCACCTTGGACTGCAACCTTGTTGAAACCAGGGGCGTCATATTAGAGTCCAAGGCCTCCTAGTTGAGGTTGTTGAAAATTACCGTAACGACACTCTCTGGAAGATCGAGGTGGCTCTGGCCTGCAAGGCTGGCTTCGACCACCTCATGATACAGCTGCCGGTCGAGCTTAAGATCGATCCTGGATAGTTCTATTATTCCTCACGAGTCGCCAATTGCTTTGACGCTTTGCAGGAGATAGAAAAGAGAAGAGGATGGCTGGTCCTGGATGTCAATAATGGAGACAAGGAGGGTGAGGAATAGGCCCAAGAAACAAGTAAGGGCTCGGCCCAAGATAGTTGGGCTAGCTGTCCTGAAGAGGAGGATGACAAAGAGGTCAGGTCCGAGCCTCGGTCGTCTCCTCTGCCGACTTCTACTGCTGCTGCTTCTCTGGTTGCCTTCTTGTGGGCTCCTGCGTCTTCCACATCCATGTGCCCTCCAAACTTTCCAATTTCCCTTAGCATTAGCAAGATATAGATTTATGTAATGGTATTAGCACAATTTATGAGTTACAAACGATAGGGGTGTGTGTTGGCATAACAGGCAAAAGGTTTCCTTAATTTGTCACGTTATTATGCATATTTCAATATGGAGTCATGAATGATTCATGTGAATGTATATAAATACTTTTTATGTTAGAATTATATGGAATTACGGAAGCATTGTTGGATTAATTTTCTATTATCACTTTCAATTGCTTGCATTTTAAAACTTTTTTTATTGTATATAGATATTCTTTTATTGAAAAACTTTTTCTCAATTTTTAAAAAATCTGATTGTAGTAGAGAACAAGGAGATAACATGTATTTGAAAAGTGGAAATTCTCATTAATATTTGATTACTTGATTAATGGACTTTTTTATATGCATTCCGCAAAGCGTAGCTATTTTAGTTTTACTCTGATTCATAACTATTAATTTGTACACTTTTCTTGCATGTCTATCACATAAATATATAATATACCAATTTAGGTGCGCTTTTACTATTGCAAATACGGACTGCAGCCTTGTTGAAACCAGGGGCGTCATATTAGAGTCCAAGGCCTCCTAGTTGAGGTTGTTGAAAATTACCGTAACGACACTCTCTGGAAGATCGAGGTGGCTCTGGCCTGCAAGGCTGGCTTCGACCACCTCATGATACAGCTGCCGGTCGAGCTTAAGATCGATCCTGGATAGTTCTATTATTCCTCACGAGTCGCCAATTGCTTTGACGCTTTGCAGGAGATAGAAAAGAGAAGAGGATGGCTGGTCCTGGATGTCAATAATGGAGACAAGGAGGGTGAGGAATAGGCCCAAGAAACAAGTAAGGGCTCGGCCCAAGATAGTTGGGCTAGCTGTCCTGAAGAGGAGGATGACAAAGAGGTCAGGTCCGAGCCTCGGTCGTCTCCTCTGCCGACTTCTACTGCTGCTGCTTCTCTGGTTGCCTTCTTGTGGGCTCCTGCGTCTTCCACATCCATGTGCCCTCCAAACTTTCCAATTTCCCTTAGCATTAGCAAGATATAGATTTATGTAATGGTATTAGCACAATTTATGAGTTACAAACGATAGGGGTGTGTGTTGGCATAACAGGCAAAAGGTTTCCTTAATTTGTCACGTTATTATGCATATTTCAATATGGAGTCATGAATGATTCATGTGAATGTATATAAATACTTTTTATGTTAGAATTATATGGAATTACGGAAGCATTGTTGGATTAATTTTCTATTATCACTTTCAATTGCTTGCATTTTAAAACTTTTTTTATTGTATATAGATATTCTTTTATTGAAAAACTTTTTCTCAATTTTTAAAAAATCTGATTGTAGTAGAGAACAAGGAGATAACATGTATTTGAAAAGTGGAAATTCTCATTAATATTTGATTACTTGATTAATGGACTTTTTTATATGCATTCCGCAAAGCGTAGCTATTTTAGTTTTACTCTGATTCATAACTATTAATTTGTACACTTTTCTTGCATGTCTATCACATAAATATATAATATACCAATTTAGGTGCGCTTTTACTATTGCAAATACGGACTGCAGCCTTGTTGAAACCAGGGGCGTCATATTAGAGTCCAAGGCCTCCTAGTTGAGGTTGTTGAAAATTACCGTAACGACACTCTCTGGAAGATCGAGGTGGCTCTGGCCTGCAAGGCTGGCTTCGACCACCTCATGATACAGCTGCCGGTCGAGCTTAAGATCGATCCTGGATAGTTCTATTATTCCTCACGAGTCGCCAATTGCTTTGACGCTTTGCAGGAGATAGAAAAGAGAAGAGGATGGCTGGTCCTGGATGTCAATAATGGAGACAAGGAGGGTGAGGAATAGGCCCAAGAAACAAGTAAGGGCTCGGCCCAAGATAGTTGGGCTAGCTGTCCTGAAGAGGAGGATGACAAAGAGGTCAGGTCCGAGCCTCGGTCGTCTCCTCTGCCGACTTCTACTGCTGCTGCTTCTCTGGTTGCCTTCTTGTGGGCTCCTGCGTCTTCCACATCCATGTGCCCTCCAAACTTTCCAATTTCCCTTAGCATTAGCAAGATATAGATTTATGTAATGGTATTAGCACAATTTATGAGTTACAAACGATAGGGGTGTGTGTTGGCATAACAGGCAAAAGGTTTCCTTAATTTGTCACGTTATTATGCATATTTCAATATGGAGTCATGAATGATTCATGTGAATGTATATAAATACTTTTTATGTTAGAATTATATGGAATTACGGAAGCATTGTTGGATTAATTTTCTATTATCACTTTCAATTGCTTGCATTTTAAAACTTTTTTTATTGTATATAGATATTCTTTTATTGAAAAACTTTTTCTCAATTTTTAAAAAATCTGATTGTAGTAGAGAACAAGGAGATAACATGTATTTGAAAAGTGGAAATTCTCATTAATATTTGATTACTTGATTAATGGACTTTTTTATATGCATTCCGCAAAGCGTAGCTATTTTAGTTTTACTCTGATTCATAACTATTAATTTGTACACTTTTCTTGCATGTCTATCACATAAATATATAATATACCAATTTAGGTGCGCTTTTACTATTGCAAATACGGACTGCAGCCTTGTTGAAACCAGGGGCGTCATATTAGAGTCCAAGGCCTCCTAGTTGAGGTTGTTGAAAATTACCGTAACGACACTCTCTGGAAGATCGAGGTGGCTCTGGCCTGCAACTGGCTTTGACTACCTCATGATACAGCTGCCGGTCGAGCTTAAGATCGATCCTGGATAGTTCTATTATTCCTCACGAGTCGCCAATTGCTTTAACGCTTTGCAGGAGATAGAAAAGAGAAGAGGATGGCTGGTCCTGGATGTCAATAATGGAGACAAGGAGGGTGAGGAATAGGCCCAAGAAACAAGTAAGGGCTCGGCCCAAGATAGTTGGGCTAGCTGTCCTGAAGAGGAGGATGACAAAGAGGTCAGGTCCGAGCCTCGGTCGTCTCCTCTGCCGACTTCTACTGCTGCTGCTTCTCTGGTTGCCTTCTCGTGGGCTCCTGCGTCTTCCACATCCATGTGCCCTCCAAACTTTCCAATTTCCCTTAGCATTAGCAAGATACAGATTTATGTAATGGTATTAGCACAATTTGTAAGTTACAAACGATAGGGGTGTGCGTTGGCATAACAGGCAAAAGGTTTCCTTAATTTGTCACGTTATTATGCATATTTCAATATGGAGTCATGAATGATTCATGTGAATGTATATAAATACTTTTTATGTTAGAATTATATGGAATTACGGAAGCATTGTTGGATTAATTTTCTATTATCACTTTCAATTGCTTGCATTTTAAAACTTTTTTTTATTGTATATAGATATTCTTTTATTGAAAAACTTTTTCTCAATTTTTAAAAAATCTGATTGTAGTAGAGAACAAGGAGATAACATGTATTTGAAAAGTGGAAATTCTCATTAATATTTGATTACTTGATTAATGGACTTTTTTATATGCATTCCGCAAAGCGTAGCTATTTTAGTTTTACTTTGATTCATAACTATTAATTTGTACACTTTTCTTGCATGTCTATCACATAAATATATAATATACCAATTTAGGTGCGCTTTTACTATTGCAAATACGTGGGCTCTTGTGGTTGAAACCAGGGGCGTCATATTAGAGTCCAAGGCCTCCTAGTTGAGGTTGTTGAAAATTACCGTAACGACACTCTCTGGAAGATCGAGGTGGCTCTGGCAGTGCGCTTTCCTATTGCAAATACGTGGCCCCACGTATCAGTGGGCATAAACTTTGACAGCCGGCAATCACGTCCAAATATAGTTAGGTTTAACTTAAGACTTAATCGAGAAGAAAATTACCCTAATTATGACCGTTACTTAGCTTAATCTTGACGCCGACTTAAACCGGCTTAAATGGATTAGCGGGGCCTTCGTATCTCTCGTCTTCCCCCAAAACCGAAACCCTAAGCGAGCCTCTCCTCTCCCTTTTCTTCTTCCAAATTCTTCCCAAGAAAAAAAAAACTCTAGCTTTTCGGTGCCCCTATCTTCTCAATTCTCGCGGAGATCCAGGGTTTTCTGCCCTAAATCGTTAAAGATTCGACGATCCAAGGCGGAAGAGGAGCCTATCTCAAGCAGAGGGTTTTCTGCCCTAAATCGTCAAAGATTCGACGATCCATGGTGAGAGAGGAGCTGATCTCAAGCGATTTCAAGGTAACGATCTTATTTTTTTTACTATTTATGGGTACATTGGAAATTTCTGCGGCTTACATCCTTGATCGATCAATGCAGGTAAATTCTCCCATCCTCAAGTTCCCATCGCTGGATCCATGGTGGGGAAGTACTTCGAAGAAAATCAAAGTTGGGAAAGGTAACATCTTGACCCTTTAATTGAAGATAACTTTTTTATTTTTGTTCAGTTCTGTTGAAATCATGTTCTGATGTTGATAGCTAGAAACATACTGTCATCAAATTTCTTGAACTTGTCATCTTTAGATGTAAAAACCTTCCTTGGCAATGTATTTAATTAACTCGCTTATTCTTTCTGATGCAAACTTGTTAATTGTTTGTTGGTTTTCTTAGCAAGCGTAATTAGTGCAACTTAAGTAAAATCTTGGATGGTTGTTTTGCTTGAGATTAAAAAACTTTGGTTAGCCATCACATTGTGCTGCTTCTGTGAGCACGTCATTGTGGCCTTATGGGTTATGTATTTTAATTTAATAACCTATTCTTTATGATGCAAAGTTGATAACTGTTTCCAATACCATTTTACGTACTTACATTTTTTTTTTCAAATTTCCAATTTCTTAAACTCTTTCCACTTTCACATATTTTCAATTTGTTCATGCTTTCTAATTTCAAACTATTTTCAAGTTTTCATATTTCGTAGAGAAAGTTTTAATCTTCTAAAGTTTTCAACGATTTAAATGTTATAAAAAGTAGGTTTGATAGATATTTACATTCCAAACTTTCCAATTTCTCAAACTATTTCCATTTTTACATATATTCAAAAAATTTAAACTATCCTATTTTCAAACTTTTTCAAGTTTACTTTAAAAGTTTTCTCAAACTTTGTTTTTTAAATTTCCAAACATCAAATTTCTCAGAACTCTTTTGACATTTGACTATAATTTTCAAACTTTTTAATTTCTTAAACAATTTTCATGTTTTCATGTTTTTTTGAAAAGTCTTAATCTTTTCTAAGTTTTCAATGGGGTTTCAATAATTAAACTAACTTTCCGTATTTTTAAATGCCATTTTTACATATTTACATTTTTGCGAACTTTCCAATTTCTCAAACTCTTTCCATTTTCAAACTTTCAAATTTGTCAAAGTCTTTCCATTTTCACTTTCTTCAAACTTTATGATTCTTCACTTTTTTTTCAAGATTTTACTTTAATTTTTAACTTTCCAATTTCTTCAACTTTTTTCAAGTTTTCATAAATTTATAAGGTTTTTAAATACCTTTTTTTTCACTTTAACATAGTTGACTTGTTTTGCATTTCATTTAGCTTTCAATTGTTCCAATTTCTCATACTTTTCAAACATTCCAAGTTCTTATGATTTAGCTTTAAACTTTCCAAAATTTCAAACTATTTTCAAATTTCGTATTTTATAGAAAAAGAATTAATCTTGAAAAAGTTTTCATCATTTTAAACTATAAAATAGGCTTTCCTGCATTTTCAAATGTCATTTTTAGATATTTATATTTCAAACCTTCCAATTTCTCTAACTCTTTCCACTTTTACATATTTTCAAATTTTTTAACTTTTCTATTTCGCAATTTCTTTTCCATTTTTATATAATTAGATTTTTTGAGCTTTCCATAATTGAAACTTCTTGATTTTTTTATTTTTGAATATTCAAACTTTTTCAAGTTTTCATAACTTTACAAGTTGCCTTAAACTTTTTTTAAAGTTTCCAATCTTCCATTTTCTCAAGCTCCTTTGTCATTTCGCTATAATTTAATTTCCTAACTTCCAATTCGTGAAACACTTTTCATGTTTCATATTTCTTAAAGAAGTCTTAAATCTTTTCCATGTTTTCAATGGTTAAAATAAATAAATTAACCTTTCCATATTTTCAAATACCATTTTACTTATTTACATTTTCTTTCACATTTTATAACTTCTCAAACTATTTTCAAAATTTCACAATATCTTTTGAAAAAGTCTTAATCTTTTTTCACATTTTATAACTTCTCAAACTATTTTCAAAATTTCACAATATCTTTTGAAAAAGTCTTAATCTTTTCTAAGTTTTTAAACATTCCAACTTGTCAAACTTTGTTCATTTTCACATATTTTAACTTTATTCACATTTTTCTGATGTTTAGGCCTTTTTTTTGACGTTTTACTTTTCAATTTCATAATTTTTTAAGTTTTCAAAACTTCATAAGGTTTTCAAATACCTTTTTTCACTTTAACATAAGTCACTTGTTTTGCATTTCACATAGCTTTCAAATGTTCCAATTTCTATACTTGTCAAACGTTCCAGTTCTCAATAGTTCAATTTTGAAACTTTCCAAATTTTCAAATTGTTTTCAATTTTTCTTAGTTTATTGAGAAAAGTTTTAATCTTTTTCAATGGTTTAAATTATAAAACTAGGTTTTCCACGTTTTTAGACGCCCTTTTTAGATATTTGCATTTTAAACTTTCCAATTTCTCAAACTCTTTCCATCTTTACATATTTTAATTTTTTTTAACTTTCCAAAATTCCAATTTCTACAAACTCTGTTGACATTTCGCAATAATTTTCAAACATTCCAATTTCTCAAACACTTCTCATGTTTTACTTTTTTTTTTAAATAAAAGTGTTTAACCTTTTCTATGTTTCCAGTTCCGTATTTTCAAATACTATTTTTTCATATTTACTTTTTTTTGTTCAAATGTTCCAATTTCTCAAACTCTTTCCATTTTTCAAAGTCTCCAATTTGTAAAATCTTTGTATTTTTTTTACATTTTGCTTGCTCTCAAATGTTCCAATTTCTCATACTTTTGAAGCATTCCAATTTCTTATACTTTTTAACTTTCCAAATTTTCAAACCATTTTCAAGTTTTCATATTTTATAGAAAAAGTTTTAATCTTTGATGGGTTTAAACTATGAAAATAGGAGTTTTCACATTTTCAAATTCCATTTTTATGTATTTACATTTTTTTAAACTTTTCAATTTCTAAAACTTTTTGACATTTTAAAATTTTTTAATTTTCAAACTTTTTCAAGTTTCATAACTTTACAAGTTTTAGTCTTTTCTAACTTTTTCTAGTTTTCATATATTTTTTTGAAGTCTTAGTTTTTTCTATTTTTTCAATTGTTTCTTAATGTTTTCTAACTTTTCCATATTTCAAATACCACTTTTACGTACTTACATTTTCAGATGTCATTTTTAGTTATTTTCATTTAAAACTTTTCAAATGTAACTCATCCGTTTAACATATTTTCAATTTTCTCAAACTTTCCAATTTCCCCAAAATTTTCTAATTTTTACATATTACAGTTTTTTCAAACTTTTTCAAGTTTTCATAACTTTACAAGTTGTCTCCATTTTTTTAAGTTTCCTAACTTCAAGTTTCTCAAACTCCTTTGACATTTCACTATAATTTCCAAACTTTCCAATTCTCAAACTTTTTTCTTATTTTCATATTTTTTGAACAAGTTTTAATCTTTTCTAGATTTTCAATGGTTTAAATAAATAAACTAGCTTTTTCATATTCTCAATTACCATTTTACTAATTTACTTTTTTTGGCCAACTTTTTCAACTTCTAAAACTCTCTTCAAGTTTTCTTAATTTTTAAAAAAAGATTTAATCTTTTCTAAGTTTTTAAACTTTCCAATTTGTCAAACTCTTTCCATTTTCACATATTTTTACTTTCTTTAATCTTTCTGATTTGTCAACTTATTTTGACATTTCACTTTAATTTTAAAACATTTTAAATTCTCAAACAAATTCAAAATTTCAAAGTGTTATAAGGTTTTCACATACCATTTGATCATTTAACATAGTTGGCTTGTTTCATATTTCGCTTAGATTTCAAATGTTCTGATTTCTCATACTTTAAATTTTAAAATTTCCTAAATTTCAAGGTGTTTTTTAGTTTTCTTATTTTATAGAAAAAAGCTTTAATCTTGAAAAGTTTTCAACTATTTAAATTGCAATAGTAGGTTTCCCACTTTTTTAAAGGCCCTTTTTCGTTGTTTACATTTTAACTTTCTAATTTTTCAAATAGTTTCCATTTTTACATATTTTCAAAATTTTTAAACTTTTCAATTTCCAAACTTATTTTCATTTAAATATTTTTACATTTTTTTTTCAAACTTTTTAATTTCTCAAACATTTTGACATTTTTAGATTTTTAAATTTCAAACTTTTTCAAGTTTTTCAAACTTTTTTTTTTCAAGTTTCCAAACTTCCAATTTTTACAAACTTTTGAAATTTCACAATAATTTTCAAGCTTTTTATCTTTTCTTAGTTTTCAAAGTTTCAAATAATTAAACTAACTTTTTCGTATTTTAAATTATCATTTTTATACATATTTACTTTTTTTTAACTTTCCAATTTCTCCAACTCTTTCCACTTTTCAAACTTTCCAATTAGTCAAACTCTGTCCATTTTCACATATTTCACTTTCTTCAAGCTTCCTAATTTATTAGGTATTTTTTGACATTTACATTTTAATTTTCCAACTTTTTAATGTCTTCAACTTTTTTAAGTTTTCATAACTCTATAAGGTTGTCAAATATCCTTTTTTTCACTTTAACATAGTTGACTTATTTTGCATTTTGCTTTGCTTTGGAATGTTTCGATTTCTCGTACTTTTTAAGTTTCAAACTTTCCAAAATTTCAAACTGTATTCAAGTTTTCATATTTTATTGAAGAAGTCTTAGTGTTCAAAAGTTTTTTGTGGTTTCAATCTTCAAAAATTTTATTGAAAATGTTTTAATCTTTAAAAGTTTTCGTAACTTAAAAAGTTTTCATAACTTTAAAAGTTTTCTCAAACCTTTTTTTTAGTCTTCCATACTTCCAATCTCTCAAACTCTTCTTAATATTTTCTAAGGTTTCAAAGGTATTTAACTAGTTTTTTCTGTATTTTCAAATACCGTTTTTGTATATATATAGAAAAACTTATGTCAACTTAAGTGGACCATTCACCAAAGTTTTTATCCATTGATGAAAAGTCTCTTCATATGATGCACGTTCATATGATGCACGGATCTCTAGGTATCATCAATGGATATAAACTTTGGTGGATGGTCGACTTAAGTTGACATAAGTTTCTCTCTCTCTCTATATATATATATATCCAATCTTTCTAATTTGTGAAATTCTTTTCTTTGCTAGGGATTGAATTTAATCTTGGAAATATGTAA